TGGATTCTCAAAGTTTTCAAAGTTTTTTATCAAAAATTAAATCACATTCAATTTTTCAATCAAATAGTAATAGACAATAAGCTTCAGTTGAATTACAATTAGCTATTTTTTTAAGAAGAGTAGGTTCAAAAGATAAAATTTTTGATATATGTTTATGATATGGTATTTTAGAAGGTACTGTTTATCTATATTGTAAAAGAGTTATAATTGCAATTCTTTCATTAAAAAATGAGTTAGTTAAATGGCCAATAGGTGAATTAAGAAAAATAGTTCATCAAAGATTTCATAATATTAGAGGGTTTAATAATATTATTAGTGCTGTAGATGATACTCACATAATTTTAAGATCTACTCCATTAAAGTAGCTTAAAATATATTGGAATCGTAAAAAAAATATTCAATTCAGTGTCAAGGTATTGTTAATCATTGTAATGTCTTTATTGATTATGAAATAGGTTAGCCAGGATCTGTTTATGACGCAAAGGTATATCAAAATTCTTTTTTTTATTAAAATATTTCTACATTAATAAAAGGATGAGATTATTTACTTGAAGATTCAGCATATCCATTATCTTCTTTTCTTATTAAACTCTTTATTAATCCTGAAAATAATTTGCAAATACAATTTAATGTTAAACATTCTCTACATTGTGTAGTAGTAAAAAATGCTTTTGGTAGGTTTAAGAATAGATTTAGTTGCTTAAAAGACTTAAATGTTAGAAAAATATCAACAGTTCATTTTACTGAATGTTGTATAATTTTATACAATTTTTTAAAAATAAATAATGATAGTTGGGATGATTTAGATGATGATGATAATAATGATAATGATAGTAACGATAGTAATAGTAATAATAGTGATAGTGATGATAATGATAGAAATAATAATAATTTAAATGATTTAAATGAAAATTCTTTGAGAAGAGTAGGAGAATTAAAAAGAAATCAAATAATAAACCAATTACTTTAATATTGTTGAATTGAAATTTTATTAAATTTGATCAAAAATCAATATACAAAATTAAAACATATTATTTTTTTTTTTGCAATTTCAATTTTATTTCTTTTATTCTTAATTTAAATTCCATTCTTGACCTTTTTCTTTCATATGCTTATCTTTCTTTTTTAACTTCTATCCGTTCCTTTCTATCTTCATCTTTTTTTCCCAAATTTTTTCTCGTGTTTTACTTATTTTAACTATTGCTACAGCCATAACTTCAATATTATTTTTAGGTTTTTATTTTTTACAATTTTCCTTTTTAATTTTAATTTCTTCTTCAATACCAGTTCCTGTTTCTTTATTTGCTAAAACTGAAGTACTTATATTTTCACGTATTTCAAAGATCATATTCATTTTATCATACCAATACCAATCTTTCTGCTCTTTACCAGTTTGATTGTTATGTTTCTTAATGAATTCATACTTCTTTGTTAATTGAGCAAGTTTACCTTAAATATAAATAATTAAAAATATTAATAATTTAATAAGAATAAGAAAAAAATTAAGAAAATATTTACTTTTAATTGCATTTAACTCTTTATTAGATAGAACATTCTTCGTCATATCATTATAAAATTTTGACTTGTTTCCTTTAGACCAAGTTGAGTAATTTTTTTGAATATAATCAAATAAAACCTTAATTTTATCATGTTTCCATTTACTCCCAGATTTTTTATCAGAAGGATCTTGATTTTGATCATATTTTTCTTCTTCCTTCACCTTACCCTCATCCTTTTTTCATCAAATAATTAATAGCCCTTTTTAATATCCTTTTGTAATTTTGATCATAATTTTCTTCTTCCTCCGTCTCATCCTCATCCTTTTTTTCATAAATTAATTAATAACCTTTTTTAATATCCTTTTGTAATTAAAAATTCTAAAATATATACTCATCTTTTCTATTTTAAGTGGATTCAAATTCAAGTTTCGTTGTTGAAGAGAAGTATTAGTTAAACTGTATAATTGAGAATCATATTGCTATTAAGAAAGAGTATATTATTGCTGGGAAAAATTATGTTGCAACTGGGAAAGGAAAGAACAAGTTGTTGAAAAGAACTTGTTGCTGTTGAAGAAGAGCCTGTTATAGCTGTTGTTTCACAAGAACTAGTCTAAGCAAAATTAAACGTAGAGTTGTATTAGTTAAACATATAAGTACTTTCTTTTTTAAAGGTCTATAAGCGTTAGTAAAGTCAGTATTAGAAGTATTAATGCGTTTAGTAAAAGTTTTCTCTTTACTTTATACTTAATTCATAGTTTCTTTGAAAGTGCATTTATTACTTGTTAACAAAAATGATCAAAAAATTTTACTTTTCTGTAGTTCAGGAAAATCAGATCACTGATTGAGTTACACAATACTATTAGCCAATTTTTATCAACTCAAAACCTGATCAAAAATCTGAACGATCAAAATTGAACTGGCCTATTGATGATCACTACAATAATAAAGTGGATAGGCTTGCCAAATTAATAAATCTGACTATAACAATTATACCATCTGAACTAGAATACAATTATATGCTCATGTTTGACAATCATATTATTCTAACATCACCAAGACGCTTTGTCAAAGACCTCCTCCAATCTATAGACTTTTACAACATTCAATTACTTTTACACTTTTAAAAATATTCCTCACTAGAGTAGATTAGATCAGCACTACTTTTGTTTATAATGACAATGAAAATATCTCAGTCACATCATATAAAGCCTCCTCCATTTAAAAATTTAAAGTTAAACTCCTTTTAAAGCTACTTTCGATACTTGAAGTACTCAAATAATATCATTCTACTTTGTATGATATATCATGGTCTTGCTTTAAATATCTGACTAGCCTCAAAATATTTGAACATATTTGGTAATGCCTGACTATCTCATGTTAAATTAATGATATTATTTTAGATACTATTGCATTCTTATTCCAACATTTGTATAAGCTTAATTCTCATTTTGACATTTCAAATATTATATCTATAGATATCTGGAATCTTAGCTCAAATACCTTCTCATTCAATTTTGTAGACTTTATCAAGAGATAGTGCTATTAGCATTTTACAAGACCTTATACCAATTAATCAATAACAATTCACTTGTTCTTGATCTCTTATTCTCAATTTACCATTTTACACATGAGAAAATCAAATCCCTTTGCCTTGATTGCTGCTTCTCATTTAATCAGTTTAAAATTATTCATAATATTTCTTTCGTTGATCGTAAAGTTAATATTGCGTTTACTGACTTTTCTAATCTCATTCCCTACTCTTTTGACATTCTGTTTGCATTTCACAAATCCTTTTACTTTAGTTCTAATTGGTCAAATTTTGGATCAGTAGTAACTAGACCCTTAATACTAGATGATTAAGCCTATTTTAAACTATTTTAGGATATATTAGTCAAAAATGATGCAAGGTTGATTTTGATTTAATTTTATTAAATAGAAATTTCTATACTCTCTCATTTATAATTTGTAATTTTTTTTACTTTATTTTTAATAAAGATTGTGCAGAGTTACCGCATATTAAAATAAAAAAAAATAATATTTTAATATTTAATGATTATAAAAATATAAAATAAAATATATTAAATTTGTTATATTAGATATTTTAATAATAGTATTTTTAAACTTTTAAAATTAGTAATTATTAATATATATTTAAAATAATTTATTATATAATTTTTACAGAAAAATAAAATTTAATTTATTTGTATTTATATTATTAAAATCTATTAATGATATCATTTTTATATTTTTGAAATTTATAGATAGTAAAATAATAAATTTTAAAATTTAAAAATTTTTTTATAGTAATTTATTTTATATTTATCTTTAAAAATCATTTTAAATATATAATTTAAAATTGATTAATTAAAAGAAGAAATTAATGATTCAAAATTAAAAAAATAAGTTTAAATAAATGATTAATTTTAAAAAGTAAATTAAAAATTTAAAAAATTATAAATAGCAATTTAGATATTTTAATATAAAAGGTTTTATTAATATATCTAGATTGTGAATAAAGATTATGAAGTTATATTTAGATGGTTTTATTATAGTAAGATTATGAAGTTATACTTGATTATTTCTATTATAATTAAGTTTATAAAGTTACACTAAAATTATTTTATTATAATAAGATTATAAGATTACAATTATAAATTAAATTGTTTTAATTAATATAATATAATTATTTTATTAGCTAAAATAGCTAAAGGTTAAAAGTGATTTTTAAATAAAAAAGCTATTTTAAAATTTAAAGATGATTTTATTAATTTTTTACATTAAAAAAAGAATTCTAAAAAATGTATAAACTTGTATTTTAATTTGCATTTTGATTTGTATAATTGTTAAATATAATTTAATTTAATAAAAAAGTATTTTAAATATTAAAGTTTTTATTTTATGATTTGATTCAACTTAACTTATTAGAAGCTTTAATTAAAAGTTATTTCTAAACATTATAAAAACTTTAAATATGTTATAAATGACATTTTTTTAGTAAAAAATAAATACTTATCTATTTTTTATACTTTATTTAATAATAAAAGTATTAACTTTTTTAATATTTAAATATTTAATTTTTTTTTATTTATAAAAATTCTAATTATAAATTAATTATCATTTATTTGCTAATATCAAATTTAAATATGATATTAGTATTTTAAAAAATAATAAAAAAAAATTTTTTCTTATAAGTAAATTAAAAACTTAAAAGATAAATTCTTATTATTACAATTATTTTATACATACTTTAATAATTCTTTATATAATAAAAGAGAGAAAGAAAAGTTATTAATAGTTTATTATATTGAAACATTAAATAAAACTCGTATTAAAAGAATAAATATTTATTTAAACTAACTTGTATTATTTTATTTTAAATAAGGATCTGTTATAATTATAAAGATTATTCAATATCCTCCAGATCAACAATCGTTTTTTCGGTACAATAAGAAAATTCGTTTATAATAGGGGTTTGATTACCATGAATATTATCATTAAATTCTATATAATCACAAGTACGATATTCACGTTCTATATATTCTTTATATTTTGAATTTTTCGTCATTGATGGTTTTTGTGATTTTCGTCGTTCCGAGATTATTCCAACCTTAGATATTTCCAACCTTTTGTTTGTAATGTAAAATAATTCTTCAATCCCTTCTACGTTATTAGTTGCGAGCAATTGCAGCATTCCTTCACCTTTTTTAACTTGTTTCCAATGATCAGCGGCGTATTCTAAACCCGTATTTTTTAAAAGATTATTGTTATATTTCCACCCCAACAATATGAATTTATGCCAATTTTCATTATCAACAATTTTTAACCATTCATTTATAACCAATTTATTTAAGTTATTAAGCATCATCATATCCGCAAGTTTAAAAGTGTGTTCGAAATCATCAAAACTTTCTAGATCCAACAATTTTCCTGAATAAATAAAATAAAGAACGGCACGAAAAGAGGTATATTTTGTTTCTCTAATAGGTACGACTTTCATATCTCTTTCCTTCCATTGACTTGAAAACATAATTTTAAAATATATTGAACTAGATGATAAAATGACACGGTGAGCTTTAATTCTTGACCCACAATCAAGTTCGAATTCAATATCTGAAAACGTATCATCTTCAAAACAATCTTCATATTTATTATCGAATCTGATTTTATCGACAGGTATAGATTTTTCTTCAAGCACGGTAACTTGAACAAACAAGTTGACAACTTTTGTTTTTTCATTTCTTGGAAATATATAATCTAATGAAAAGAAATTATCGTACAGACAACTTGAAACAGTTTTTGATCCGTTAAAAGTAAAGTTCCCACTTTTTTCACATTGTCTGATCACAGCTTTACGCTTAGGTAATAACTGACTAATATCATATTCTCCAATTCCTAAAATAAATTGTTTCCGTCTCGTAGTGATACCCTTTTCCTTTTCATACTTTGTTTGAATCGCTTGAACACGCAAAGACATTCCTTTCGATATAATTCCGTTTGGGTACAAGGATAATTCCCACAAAGTAGGATGATTGAAATTTTGATTTTTAGTCTCAAAGGATCTTTGTGGCAACCAAAAATTTTGGCTATTAATACATTCACCTTGAGAGACTTGTTTTATCCATTTTTGAAAATTTCCAATTTCCCATACAAATGTGTTTGCGATTTCACTAGTCATTTTACTCCTTTTTGGGGGGGGGTAGGTGATAGGATAAGGTAAAATTATATATATATGTTAATATGTAACTATAAGCGAAGTCAATCTGACTATAAATAACAAGTATTCAAAAAAAAAAAAAAAAAAAAAATATGCAATGCAATTTTTCTTTTTTATTTAGAATTTTGATGATTGTCTAGGATGATGTAATTGATCAAATCGAGTAACGTTCCGGAAAAACTTAATTATTTCAATTATTCTGGAATGGCAAAAAGATTTTCATTAAAACACCTAGTGATCGCTTAAATTTACAACTTCAAGGCCAGGCATAATTATTCAAGATTATTATAAAGAATGGGAGAATGGAGAATGAAAATAAATCCTCTTTTTTTTTCTTGAGGAGGATATGACAATCACGTGATCGACTGTCCTTTACGTCATTAAAAGTCATTGATGTATCACAAACTAAGGTTCCAGTTGTTGTCGTAGCTTCCCGCAAAAATGGTAGATCAACACCACACCTGCACACTGATTTGTTCCTATAGATAAATGAATCTGGGACTATTGATTTAACTTTTAACTGTTTGTTACTAAAAGCAATACTTTTGAGCAACGTTAAAAAATTTTTCGATTTTCATTTTTTTTTTTTTTTGAAGAAACAATTACAATTTTGCTTTGTACATACATTTTTTTAAAACAAGGTGTGATATAATAGTAATTGTGGAATTTATTGATACTTTTTGCTAACTTTTATTGCAGCTCTAGTTTATCTATTTTTTTTATTTTTTTTTTGGTCTAATTCAATTAACCTTTAATTTTTAATATCTATATCTCAAAGAAATATAAAATAAATTAAAATGACTGAATTCGAACTCGATCCTATCGCTATTTACGATAATCTTGTAACTTTGCAAGTTAAACCACAATCAGGAGGAAAGAATGCTAATAACGAGGCCCAATTATTATCCAACTTACGAATAGACACAGCTTCTGTCATTAAGGAAATTGGTCGATACCGTGCATGTGACTCAGGATCATGCCTTTATTGTCGTGAATGGGCTTCATTTGTCTACAAGAAAAACCATACTTGGACAGTCAAAAACCAAGCTCAAAACGTTAATGGAGATAACGTTGGAGGAAATAACGTTAAGAAACCAAAGAAGGCCGCGTCGGATATTCATCAACACTTTTGTGATCTGATTCTTCAGCATGGAGAAAAGATCAAATCATCCGGATCATCTAATGAAACGGCCGATCTAGTTGATGTTATTGTTCAAAAAGTTTTTTCATGGATTAAATCACCAAGCAATTTGTATGAATCACCCGATACCTTTGCTCCTGTAGAATTCGATACGCATCATCAAGTGGTACCAAACCTCGAACATGAAAATGATCCGTCGTCTCTTATTGATGTAATTGGGATTGAAAAATCTCATTTATATATTCAAAAGGATTCGTTTCCACTTCTTAAACATATTAGCAAGGTTCAACAATGTAACCATACTAAACCGGATTGGAAATATCCTTCCGACATTGACCTTGATCGGAGAGTATTTAATGATCATTTATTTAAGGAGGCGGATAAAAATGAGGAGGCTTTAAACGAAAGTTTAGGTCAAGTATGGTCACATGTTAATAATTTTCTAACTTCAATGCTTGAATTGGAAGCAAAACGAGATTTATCTTTGGGGAAGGGTTGTCTAGCGAACCTTTCAAAATTCTTGAAAGAATATCAGGACGAATGTCTGTTATTTCATGAATATTGGGCACCAGTTGCTGAAGCTTATAAAAAGTCGGGTAAATCCAAGAAAGGGACCCTTACAAATTCGGCAAATGTTGAGGACATAGACACTGCATTTCACACGTATATTAATAATGTTAAAAATGTGATTTCTCTTTGGGAAGGAGGTTTTATTGAAAAGTCCGTTAATGACGCAACACAATTTGGAGATGAGGTACAGCGAACATTAGTTAGTATTTTAGAGGAAAGTGAAGAAAGGTTAGTTAGCGGTCGTGTTGTAGAATTTCATAATAATATTTTGCAAAAGTGTGGTGATGCACTAAGAACAGTGAAAGACATTAAATTATTATTATCGAAACGTGTGTCAATATTACACACAGAAATATCCCAGAAAAGTAAAGAACTTATCCAAGAACTTGAAGCACTCGAGGAAGCCTATAAGAATGAATCCCAAAAAACAACGATAGGTCGATTGGAGAAGGCAAATAATAAAGAATTTCGTAAGCGGATCAAAAAAATAGAGATGGCAGTATATGGATCTAGGCAAAATGCCATCATTTCAATTGGAAATTTGTTTCCAGTTACTGATTTTACGGGAATTTTTACTAAAAGTTTGGAAATTTTAATGATGGAGGGTGAAATGTGGGAAGCTGTTCAATTAGGACGGCATTACAAAAATTATGAATCAACGTCGCAGAAACTTGTGTCACAAAGACAGAAAATATTAAATAATTATAAGGAGGGGATTGAAACGGGACGGAAAACTTTGTCTGGTATTATCGGGCGATTGTTTTTAAAGGAAGCTCAGAGACAGCAAGATGAGACATTGGCTCTAATGAAACAAGAATCACTTTTACAATCGATAGAACAAGGTAAACAGGAGTCTGGGAAGAAGAAAAAAGGCGAAAAAGATCAAAGTATTGCAGAATCGGTAGAATCTTCAACTCCTACCGAGAGTTCAAAAAAAAGTAAGAAGAAGAAAAAAAAGAGCGGTAACGTTTCAGCTACAAACACGCATATTCTTACACCATCAATGGGCAAAGAGACGGGTTCAGAATCTAAATCCGAATCGCCTGTTGATGCAAAGCCTGCAATAAATCCTAAAATAACGAACCACCATGAAAACGTTAATGATTCACAGAAACAATTAAGGCAACAACAATTTTTAAGGAATATGATAACTGAAAATAGTTCGAAAGACACGAATAGTTCTTCGTCCATGAGCTCAGAAACAGCAAGCGCACCACCGCTCACAAGTTCAACTCATGATGAGAAGAATAAAGCTAACGGATTGCCTAGCAAAACCCATGAAATCAATGGGCGCCAATTATCAGTTCCACCAGGGTTGGGTCCGATACCTGGTGATGCAAATCCAAGACCTATTCCCAATGGTCAGACACTTCCATCGAATGGAATCTATGACGATGTTAGTAAATTAAACCTTGATACTTTGAGCAGGTCCGATTTGACAATGCTCATTCAGAATTTATTTACTGAGAAAGCTCAATTGGTGTCCACTCTGATTTCGGTGCAACAAGAAGTCAAGGCAATGACTGATCGATATGCAAACCTTTTGGAGGTGGCTCGTGATCGTGAATTTCAAACAATTCAAATGTTTGAAACGCGAAAGCAACAAGAGATGGAAGAGGCGATGAAATATATTCAAACGTTAGAGTTAAGAATAACTCAATTAGAAAAGCAGAATCACGTAGGCAATAATAATGAGTCTTCAAGTCCAAAAAATAGCTCTTCTCCCGGGAGTCCGATTGGAAGTTCTAGTACTGGTCAGACCACGCAATCATCATCAAGTGGATTTAGTCTCTTTCCAACCAACAGAACAAGTACAGGTGGATCCAAAAAGTATTCGAACCCTTGGCGAGCCCCCTCTAGCGTGAGGTGCGGTAATTGTGGAGATCAGGGCCACGTTAGTCAGGATTGTACGATTGGATGTAGATATTGTGGTGATTTGGGGCATTTAAGTGAGAACTGTGATTCTTCTATTCTCGGTGGTGGTAGTGTCAATTCTGATAAGAGCGATAAGGTCATTGATCAAAATAATTCAAGCCTCATCTAATTTATTATGACTTGCTGGTCGAAAAAACCTACTATATGATTGATGAGATTGCATACTTTGCTATTTAAATATTTAGTTACAGAAAAAAAAAAAATTTATTTCTTTATTGATATAGATTGTTTTAAAGCAAATTGTATGTATACTTGAAATAATGTTTTGTATTTTTATATGCGTTATGGCATGATCGACGTTATGATATATCATATTTATAACAAAATATCGTGTAAATATAACCCCACAATAAATTTGATTTGGTTATGTAGTACAATATATATATATATTGTATTTTGAGTGATTCTAAGAAATTTTTGTAAAGAATAGATCCTTTTCAAGAGACTTTTTCCCAATGGATCTTATCGTCGTTTCTCACTAAAACGACTTTTTTTATTTTATGCGACCATAGGTAATCGCTTTGAACGAACATCTCAAGTTTCCTATTTCTGGGTCTTTCTTTATAAGCAAGTTCCACACCTACGCTCGTCGATGAGTTGCATCGTTTGGTCGAAATTTCTTAAATAAACGAATTTATAAGAGGCCATGGCAGGAAATTCATATTACGAGTAATATGTCTCATGCCTCATATAATTTTATTGCCTAATTTTCAAAGAAATGAACATTGTAAAAGTAGCCTCTTTGCCGTAGCCCTGCACGAAAATTAATTAGACTCCGACGGTCCGACTTAGGTGTAGACGTTACACGACGTACAAGCAAAAGCATAATTTATTGTACAAATAGTAAAATACATCAATCTTTTTTTTATAAAAAAAAATTACTCTCTCACTTTTCTTGATATTTAGGAGGAGGTGGTGGCAAAGGATAATCATAAGGATCATCATCATCTAACAAATTTTTCTTTGAGCCCTTACTACCCAATTCATCGTCACTAAAACTAATTCTACTTGAACCCAACTTACTACCATCTCTTTCCAAAATGGAACGAGAATCAAACTCAAAGGCGTACCCCATATTAAAATTATCCGGATCTATGGTATATAATTCACTATCCTCAATAGGTTGAATCCTTAAAGTGTAATCACCTTCTTCAACCAATAAAATACGTTTAGTTTTACCACGTCTAGTAAGGGCGGTTGTTTCGGTAATCCTACCATTATAAACGCTTTCTAATTGACTTTTAACGTTATCATTAACATGTATCATTGGTATAATTAATTCTTTCGTCGTTGAAGGATGTCCAAATTTAAGATG